AGGAATACATTTGGAATTGCTCTACGTTTATTATTCAAAAGTTAGAATACATTTCAAATGTATTGTAAAGATTACAACAATGTCAAATTACTCAACAACGCTCAATACTTGAACAGTTTTGTTAATAAACATATATGCAAATTACAACGGTTGAGTTAATAAATACAGAGAGTCAGTTCGTTCATGCTTCACAACCTAAATTGTATAATAAAAAAAATAATCAAAACAAAAAAGAGTCTGACTGTCGAGTTGTTTGTTTTATTAATCTTCAGACGATCCCGTTTTTTATATATTGTTAAAACCGATGTTTTTTGCCTTTCGTTATCGCTACTTCATCACGATTTGTGTTAAATATAGACCATGTACACATTTCGCAATGCCTATGTAGCAAGTGCACTGATAAAGGTAAGTTTATATGTGAACTAAATGAAGGTATTTTCAATAATTATTTATTTGTATATAACAAGATGTGAACTTGTCCTTATAAAGGTGCATAATTCGCCGATTTATTTTAAAATGTATGTATCCACCCTACTCCCATAACATGAGAGGCCGCTGGTCGGCCTTTCTTCTATCGGATAGGATTTTGCCGACTGCAACCTCTCATTTCCGAAGCACTAATTTCGGGCGGAACAAAATCGGCTTCAAAAACTCACTTAAGTGGTAAACAGTTCATGACAACGATGTCTACTCACGGTTAATATAACATAGATCTTATATGTATGTCACAGACACAAATATATAGTATATTACAGAATAGAACACTCAAAATCCATGTCCATGTCGTTGTAGCACATCTCTGACCTACATTTAAAACATGGCTTCCTGGATTAATACAAAATAGCACAGGGGATTTCAAACGGAACGAAATGAAACGGAGTTTGTTTGTATTCCGCTTGTGAAACATTACGTGTAATCCATTTTTGTATTAACCGGAAAAAACATGGCAAATGCTGTCTGCTTCGCTTCGAATGAGGAAAAACTCATTATTTATGTCTTTGACACGATTTTTTTTCTCATATAATCATGGATTTATGGAAAGGAATATTTATTGAACCCTTTTGCTCATTTAAATGTATGTAAACATGATATACTCTTTCTTAATCCGAACTTTGAAAATGTGATCGTCAGCATCGGGAAAATCAGCTATGGGCAGTTAGAGGTTACGCGGCGCCTGTCAAAAGTTTTTCGCCGTGTAAAACCTGTCACATTGTTGGGAGTAGTGTCCACCCTTGTTATACCATGGCTATGGATGGACTTGTGTACAGTCTAGTGAGTAGTGTCGATATCATATATTCAAACATGGCTGCATTATGTCAACAGTTCAAAACACATGTATGCTTATTCCTATTTTGAAATTTGTTTCGTCCCACTTTGCACACAGCTGGAGAATTATTCACTGATTCTATAAGTGTGAAGTTATTCTGCTTCTGCTTCTGCTTCTGCTTCTGCCATGGAAGTGTCCTCAATCGTCTTGCCGAATATAATGACACTGGTTTGTGCGTGTTCAATTAAAATAATAATAATAGTAATAATAATAATAATAATAATAATTACTAGTATGCGGAAGAATGCTACTAATAGTAAATAATAAGGAAATTTGAAGGTTGATTAATAAGTGTTTTGTTTGTTTGTTTTTTAGAACCAGCTACTCTGTATTAGGAAGAGTTCTTACCCGGTTTGGTCATATCGTTGTACATGGAAGCAAAAATAAATTGCCAATTTAACGAAGATTACAACTGCTCTGTATTGGGGAATGGTTCTTAATCGGTGTTGGTCATATCAACACTGGCCATCTTTCTGAACCCTTCCCGTACAGGAGTGTACTGATGTACTGCTAATGATTTTTCTAATTTAGAAATAATCACCTTATAAAAATAGGTAAGGTTAAAAACACACATTACTTTACGTTTTTTTAAAGTTAAGGATAGCAGATTTGAAGGCCACTAGTGATTTTTTTGTAGGCGATCTATGGCGGGAGGCTGCTCCAATCAACTATAGTGCGTGGATAAATGGACCTTTTCTCATACTGGGTTCTGCAGTGAGGTGTGGAGAAGCATTGTTCATGTTGGTTTCTAGATAGACATGTAGCTTGGAGTAGTTTGTAGAGTCAATTGCAACCAGGTTGTTTTTAATTTTGTAGAACATGGCTAGGCAGGCATTTTTTCTTCTGTTTCTTCAAGTGGCCAATTTAAAGTATCTAACATATCTCCTACACTGGGCCTGTCGCCATGGCGATTTAAGATAAATCTTGCTCCTCTCCGCTGGACCATTTCAATTTTGTTGATGTCTTGTTCTAAATTTGGGTCCCATGCAGTGCTGGCATATTCAACTGATGGCCTAACTAAAGATTTGTATCCCTGTTCTTTAATTCCTTTGGAGCTGATTTTGAAGTTCGTCTTAAAAAGCTTAGAGTGTTGTTTGCTTTGTTACAAATGTTGGTGATATGTTTCTCCCAACGCATGTCTGAACTAAACGTAATGCCCAAATATTTAGCAGTATTTACATGTTTTAAAGGGTATAATCATACAGTTGGGGAGAACGACTACGTGTTATAGAAAGTACGCTACACTTGTCAGGGAGGAAGGACATAGTCCAGTCTTTTGCCCATACAGCTAATTTGTCCAGGTCAGATTGGAGACATTTAGCATCCTGATCACATGATATGGTCAGATAAGCTATCGTGTCGTCCGCAAATAATCTTACAGTGGATTGTAGGCTTGATGCTAGGTCGTTTATGTAGTGCAGGAAGAGACTTGTTCCCAGAACTGACCCCTGTGGTACCCCAGATTCTACAGGCATATATGATGAAATTTCCCCTTCGCAAAGGACAGCTTGCCTGCAGCCAAGTAGGAAGTTTTTTATCCAGCAATTTGTTTTCCCTCTTACTCCGTAATGTTCTAATTTATGAATAAGAAGTGAGTGGCTGACTTTGTCAAATGCCTTCGAAAAATCTAATATTAATACGTCGGTTTGTTTGCCAGCTTCTAAATTTTGAGTAATATCTTCAACAAATTCCAATAATTGGGTCTCGCAGGATCTGAATTTTCGAAAACCATGTTGCAAAGGGTAGAGTGAATCCTGATTATCTGAATGGGTCATGATGTGGCTTACTATAATGTGTTCAAAAAGCTTGTAACACACAGATGTCAACGATATGGGACGGCAGTTTTCAGGAGTATAGCGTTGTCCTTTTTTGTATAAGGAGGCTGCGTGAGCAGTCTTCCAGTCATTTGGTACAATACCAGTATTGTATGATTTGGTAAAATTCGGTGTCAGAATGGGGGCTATTTCATTTGCAAGTTCCTTAAATAGTCTTGGTTTAAAGTTATCAGGGCCAGCAGCTTTTCCTGGTTTTAGATTTAGCAGTAGTTTCAGAACTCCTTTGTTTGTAATATTTAGGTCAGCAATTGAATTGTCATCTACGTGGAGTGTCTGATGGAATTCTGCAATGGAAATTTCAGTTGCAGGGGAGAATCCCGAATGGAACTGCTTGTTTAGAGCATTTGCTTTATCAATGGGGTCTGATAGAAGTTTCCCATCCTGCTTTAATAGGCTGATATTAGTGCCTTCCGTCTCCTGGTGTTTAATATACGTCCATTTCTTGCTGACATTATTTGGATTACCAGTATCAGGTGTTACAATGCCCTCTATATATTGCCAATATGACTGGCGCAGTTGTTGTTGTACTAATCGTTTGATGTCTTTGTGCTTAGAGGAGAGTTGAGGGTCTTTTGACTTTTTCACCTTTTTGTAAAGCCTGTCTCGTTTTCTGAGTTGTCTGGTTTCTTGTTTAATCCAAGGTTTATTTTCTTTATTTTTTTGCCTTTTTGGGGGGATATGGGCCTTTATAAGAGAGTGTAACTTGACCCTGAACTTTTCCCATAGTTCGTTTGCGTCTGATATATGGTCAAGTCTGAGTTCCAAAGGAGTTGAGTTCAGTTTTGATATTATCCCAGTTTGCCTTTTTGTATAGTGGGATATCTCTAGGTTTTTGTTTTAGCTATTTTGGGGCAATGTTAAATTCCACAACCACTATATCATGGTCCAAAACGCCTGGCATGACTTCCGTTCTAGGTATCAAAGTGGGAAAATTTGGTCTAAAGAATTGTTTTTCCTGGTTGGTTCTGAGATCATTTGTGTCAAGCCAGTGTCATCAAAAGTGTTTCCAAATAATTGGTGTATATTTTGATGTAAGGTGCCTGGTTTTAGAGTTCTGGATTGCCAATCCCAACCGGGTAGGTTAAAGTCCCCACCGATGAGTAGAGCTGCATTTTTTATGCTGGCTGCTCTTTTAACAGAGGAATCAAAACCATTAGCACTTTCCACATCGTTTGTTTAAGGGTGGTAAAAGGCAGATATGTATAGTGATCTGCAGCCAATAATGTCTACCTTGGCCCAAACTAGCTCACATTTGTCAGAGACAGTGAGTTCAGGTACTTCTTGGCTTATAAGGGTGTTTTTTATGGCAATTAACACCCCACCCCCTCTCTACCGACTCTATCTTTTCGAAATAATTTGAAAGAGTCAGGGAAAACCTCGTTGTCCTTGATGTTAGGTGACAACCAGGTTTCTGTACCAATTATAAAAATATCAATAAACGAGGAGAGAATACCAGAGTGTCAATGAACCAATAAATCGATGAAACTGGGGCAAAATATGACCAATGGAATACTTGACAAAGAAATATGAAAGGTATGTACAAAGAAAACACAAGGCGTTTCGGAAGGGTAAGCGTCTTCTGCTTCATCGACGACTCCGGTTATATAAATCTCAGTCAAATCCAAGTGATGCCATGTGTTTACGTCGAGTCCTCTATTAGTGACAACATAACCGCAAAGCACTCTTATGAGCATCATAAAATACGACAAAATGGGTTCAAAATGAGGAAGATAAACATTACATAAATTATATCTAAGTACGTTTTGTGTAGACTGTCCGGATTTTAAAACCCGACATTTTTTCCGGATTTCTGGTCCATTTCCGTGTTGTTTGTTTTAATCCAAACTCAACTTCCGACAACACGCGGGAACGTCAAAGATGAGCGATACCGAGGAGGACAATCAAGATGACAGCGCAATTCCGAGTCGGGACGAGTGCGAGTCGCGATGTCAAAAATTTGCCGAAGTCACAGGGACGGACACAGCGCTGGCCATGTTCTACCTCCAGGACGTTGAGTGGAATATTGACGTAGGTAAACATATCTGGTACACACTAATAAACGGATTTTAGTGGCCTTAACACTCCGGAGACACACTACTAGCAATAGTTTATCTTTTCTAGTTCCGACTAACACTGTGTAGGACTGACACCGGATATAGCTAGTACCGAAGCGGGCATGGACGCTAAGCGCAGACAAGCCACGGGATGTTTTCCGATATTTCTGGTAATTTCTGGTAGCGTAGAGACAATTAAAGGAGCACAACAGTTATACAATGAACAATGATGATGATTTGTAAACTATTTCATGCGATCTTAAGATAATGGTAAAAAATGACTACAAAGTAGCGGTACAAAATCATTTACAAAGAAAGAAGACGAGATAACTGTTAAAGTATGGTATATACGATGATGAAATGGACGTCATTGGCATATGTAGATGAGACCGGGATAAACATATAAAGGTCATACGTCTAAATGTAGTCATTATGATGTAATTGACTGAAATGTTTTTTCGTCTGTGTATGGCGAATAGTTGTTGATACATTTTCAAGTGTACGGCGACTAGCAAGTTAACAGTACGGCGAATAGCTATACTAACATAACCATGTTTAGAGCGAGCATTTGTACTAGCTACGTTTTTATGTTGTTATACCATTGGAGTAACATACCAATGATGTTGCTTTGTAACACTTTTGAATGATATCGTAAAGGGAAGGGGTTACAAATGTTGAAAGTCTAATGAATGTCAAGTTAGATAATGATAAGGAGTACCCATTTTTCACATGCTATAACACAACCTAAGCTGTGACCATGACAATAGCGGTGGATAGTTGGAACTTAAGCTGTGACCTTGACAATAGCGGTGGAGAGTTGGAACTTTAGCTGTGACCATGGCAATAGCAATGGCGTGTTGGAACTTTAGCTGTGACCTTGACAATAGCGTTGGAGAGTTGGAACTTTAGCTGTGACCTTGACAATAGCGATGGAGAGTTGGAACTTAGGCAGAAGGTGACATACTCTTTCCCTGTCATAACGTTAATATACAAGGGGGAGGGGTTACACAAGAAATTTTAAGGGTGATGTAGAGATAATCTGCATCAGATGGCTGAAAGTGTAAAATATGTATACCTTTAACAGGCAATGGTAAAGGTCTGTTTCATTCCTACTTAAGATTTCAAAGTCTCTCCTAACTTTATTTTCATCAACTTTAAATAGGCACTTTTAAATTATGGTCTGAAACTTTGTTTTATAATTGGTACTTAAACAAAATATATTGCAATCCTAATATTTTGAGGGCTGAAAAACAGACACACTAGTATCATTTTGGCCTATCCTTTTCATCTACAGTAAAGGTAGACTAGTGGTTATCTGACTTACCTGTACAACTGTATTGAGTGCATTGTTGTTTCTTGTAATCTTTGGTGTTCTACAAATTACGTACGATAAGGTGCATGCATTTTACACTGTAGGAGATTTACGGTAATCGGGGAACGTTAGTTTAAGTTTAGCTTTAACAAAATATGTCACATTTAGGCAAGTGTTCACTTGAATACTGTATACCATATGAACTATTCGCCGTACACGAGTAATTTTGAAATTTTCTATTCGCCGTACACTTCACCAAAATCAGTTATACCAATATCTAAAGAAAGAAGCATAATATAGAGTGACTTCGTGTATTATCATGACTATATAACTATAAGAAATCATCTTAGCATATAAATGTATATAAGTCAAGTCAAGACAATATTTGCTGTTGCGAATGAAGATTTAGCAGTACTAGGTAGACTGTTTTTGTAAATGATTTGCAACTACACCAAAACAATTACATGCCTCCTGTTTCAGATATGAATTACATCTATGCTTGACTGTCGTGCTTCTTTATTTGTCTCTACACTACCATAAAATACAAGAAATATCGGAAAAATTAACGTGATTTGATTACGCCCCGCTTCCATACCCGCTTCGGTACTAGCTATATCCGGTGTCAGTCCTACACAGTGACTATAAGTATGAAGGGTGATTATAAATAATATGAAAAGGAAAAGTCTAAAAAGAGTGTTGCTTTTGTTTATCTATGATAATTACTTATTCAGAATGAGATAATACAGATTTCAGAATGACATAAGATAAACTGTTAACAGGTCAAACACAACAACGGCATTTGGGTAACAGTTACCCATTTGCAGTAACAATTTTATAACTCAGATGGGGAATAAAGTGAAATAAAAACGCATAAAGTTCTTTTAAATACCTGCAATAAAAAAGGACATTATTCTTTTAACTAACGTCGGATGTCGTGACTGGAAGTGAGAGTAGTTGTTTGAGGCATTTTTATACGCCCGTCAAATTTGACGGAAGTATTATGGTATCGGGTTGTACGTCCGTCCGGCAATCTCCTCCTACATTTCGACCGATCTCTTTGAAACTTGATATACATTATAAGAGCGTAGCCTTTGGCGCTTGAGCGAAGCTCTTTAATGGTAACACATGCGTGCATAAACAGAGTTGCTTCCCCTTGCTACACATTGCCTTTCATTTTTTTCGTCCGGAAGTAGACGTATCCTTGAAGCAAAGACAATTGTGTTTTAACCCATACATAAATATCTTCATATAGTTAAAACAATCTTCATGTTTTATTACTTGTTTATTTAGATAAAAAATAATATACATTCTGAGTGAAAAAAGTCTATCACATAAACTCTGATACTAACAGGCATGAAACTTCGTTCAGAGATTATCATACTATGACGTCACAAACACGTCACAACCCATCGGCCTTCATCGGTTATTTCCGGAAGGATGAAAGATAACTGGAAAATTCTGGAACTGATGTCCGTTGCATTTATCTCTTTGTTGGTGCTTCAAGACTTTTTTTTTATTTCAGTTTTTTCCACAGGCACAAAAAGTAAAAATGCGGATATTTTCTGAAGATCTTTTTGTCATTATTGCGGTTCTATTGATATTTCTACTGGGAATATCTTCAAAAAGAGAATGATCATTTGAAATCATCAGCTTTTGATTTCCATTTGTTGAGAATATGGTTGAAATAATTAACATTTTTGAAAGTCTGGATATAGCCTTTACATTATTTATGCATCTGATACCACTCATAAAAGAAGCAATGGAAAATGCATTTATGACAAAATTAGCACTAATTTTCCAGACAACCAACCCAAGTGCAACGCCCTTTTTCAGCAACGTATTTCTTTTTAACAATGCGTGCCGATCTATAACTAGTTGTAGACAGAAACAGTAATATTATTTGGCATCATTACCTGTCAAACCTCGGTGACAGTTACAAAGTTTGAAATTCAATCCGGTGTTTCAGGATGGAACAGTAATTGAGACTACATATCGATATAAAGACAATTTCAGATACATCAAAGTATTACAATGTTTTCTTTTTTTAATTTTCCTTTTTTTTTAGCTAACATCTCTATACATTTTCTTAGACTAATCGTCAAATATGTAGTAAACACAGTTTTCTATACCAAACAGTTTTCCCCCAGCGTATCTCAATCATTCTTTTTGTGACAGAAGCACACAGAGAGTTTGATTCTTAATATGGAAGGAAGCTGGAGTATGCAGAGAAAACCTGCGTGGTCGGGCAGGTGAATGAGATAGAATCCGGCCATCTTGGCCACGAGGGAACATGAGTGACAATATTCATGACTTGTAGATATTATGTTTACAGATGGTTCACAATTAATTATTAATTAGATTTTAATCAAGTTATCAACTTATTGCTTTTGAATATGTGTTACTTGTATTATATTTCTAAATGTATTCCAGTTATGTGTATCGAACGCACTGCAAAATTCTTTATCTTTGTGACGCTTAACAGGAAGTTGGAAAGTGTTGTGTGCCATGTGTAAACACGGTGGGTTTTGAGTCCATCCTGCTACTTTCTGACTTCTACTATCGATTTTGTGTATTTATTTGTTTTGTGTGAGTATACTACCCCTCGTGTTATAGGTCATTACTCTTATACCATGTGCTGCTTCTGTCGTCGATAGCATAACGATTCCATCTGCCAACTGCCAGGGTCTTGGGGATCTAGTTAAACAAAAAGATGTGTTTTCCTATTTAAAAGTGAACAGGTACAATATTTACTGTCTATAGGATACTCACTTCACAGCAGACAAGGAAAAAAATATTTGTTGGAATTGGGGATTTGACTGTATTTTTAACTCTTTTAACTCTAACTCTAGAGGAACTGCAATACTTTTTAACAACATTTCGAGTATAAAGTCTTACAGGTAAGAAAGCATTTTAACGGTAATATGTTAGCACTTGATATTCTAAGAAACTTACTTTGATAACACTATATGGACCTAACACTGACCAACCAGTATTTTTCGAGGAGATAATGAATATTATAGAAGAATTAGGTAATAAACAATATATATTATTTGGGGATTTTAACATTACTATGGATCCAAAATTAGATTGTGATAATTATAAACATATAAATAACCCAAATGCAAGAAATAAAGTTATAGAGTTAAAAGATGAATTTGGAATTATAGATACTTCAGAGAACTTAACCCCAATACTAAAAGATATACATTGCGTAATAAAACTCCTCTTAAACAAGCACGGTTAGACTACATATTGATATCTGACAGTTTACTACCAAGCTTTAGAGCATCTTCTGTAATTGAACCAAGTTACTGATCTGGGCCCAGTTGTTCAAAAGGTGATTAGCTTAATCAGTGATTAGCGCAAATTTTAATTTATGTGTAACTTAAAAAATAAACCATTGAATTAGATACAACTTTCCAGATATCAAATATTTAGTAGAGTGAATTCACATGCAAAATTGTGAGATTTTACCTTGAATATTGACGAAATTATCAAAGGTTGAAAAATGTCATTAAACAGTGATTAAGCTAACCAGCTTTTGAACAACTGGGCCCAAATTTAATAACTCTTTATTGTTTGATTTAGAATATTTAACTCTCATCAAATCTACTATAGACTCTATAAAACAACAGTACTCTTTACCAGTATACAACATAAAT